AGAGATACGGAATCTCCATTATTATACAACGCTCTAGCGGACTACAAGTACTTAGACTGACCAAATACATAATAGCTGGATTTAACGAAAAACAGAACACAGGCGCAGTGTTCCTGGATGTAAGCAAAGCCTTCGACAGAGTCTGGCATAAAGGCCTAATACACGGTAAGTACTAGGTTCGGATAGGGTAAGTACTATCCGAGCATGGAGCTCCAGAGGCTGGAGCACCACAGGGAGCAGTCCTGTCACCTCTACTGTATATAAAATACATCGCAGATGTTCCAAGAACACCAGGAATACCACTCAGCCTTTATGCAGACGACACAGCGATTGTGGCCAAACACAGAAACTTAGAACTAGCGGTCAACAATCTACAGAAAGCATTGGATAATATTGGATAAGAATGGTGTATCCAATGGAAAATAGCAATCAATTCAGAAAAGACACAAGCAATTATATTCAAAAAGAAAAGAGAAACCCAAGGGGAATAGCTGTTAGTGCACGATAATCCCATCGAATGGAAAAGAGAAGTAAAATACCTAGGAGTCACTGTGGGCCAAAGCTTAACCTTCACGCAACACGTGGACATAACCATCCAAAAACAGCAACAGCTAGAGCAGCAATAAGAGGACTTACAGGTAGAAAAACTGAAGACAAAAATAACACTGATAAACAGCATATAATCACATTATCACAATAATCACATATGCATCTCTCGCATGGGGACACATAAGCAATTCAAATGAAAAGAAAATACAAGCAGCCCACAATAACATCCTCAGAGAAGCGGCAAATGTACCCAAATACGTTGCTGAACGTTTTCTGTTTAAAGAATTTGCTTGCAACAAGTGTTGCGTTCTGCACATACGATGACCTCAATATAACAATTGGGATCATCCTGAAGGGGGTGAGAAGATATTCTGTTCAATCTAGAACTCGCTGGTTTCCCCCTTTCGAAATGGTTATGTATATTCAAATAAAAGAAGAGAAATGAAAGGCAGTGGACTGTATAAAACTATACTTATGTTTAATTTTGTTGCGTTCTGCACATACGATGACCTCAATATAACAATTGGGGTCAACTTGAAGGAGGAGAGAAGATATTTTGTTCAATCTAGAACTCGCTGGTTTTCCCCCTTTCGAAATGAGTCTGTATATTAAAATAAAAGAAATGAAAACCAGAGGACTGTATATTAAAATAAAAGAAATGAAAATCAGAGGACTGTATAAAACTCTATTAAGAAAAAAATAAATGAAATTAAAACATAAATATATATAAGCAAATGCAAATATACACTTACAACTAAAGAAGAATATACAAACTTAAAATTACGCAATACGAAACGACATACCAAAACTCGCCTTTTTTACAAGGCTTAAGCGAAGTTGAGAGGTAGAATGCACAACCCTCACAGCAAACCACGTTTGCCTCGTTTCGAAGACGAAACTCAACTCTCCTGGTCCGGTGAAAATTCAGGAATCCAAAAAAACCAAAACAAAAAATGTCGATTCTAACAAAAAAAACTGCTGACCGAAAGCAGTAAAATAATTTCATATATACCACGTTATAAACATAAAAATATTGACATATAGTAGTATGAATGATAGCATTGAATAGATAAAATGGCAGAAAATCCAGAATTAGGTTTGCAAAATTAAAGCCCGATCCTGCGAGAGATAATAAGATAAGCGTTCCATTGCTGGAAGCACAAAAGTGCAAGACAGCAGATTCTGGCAAATATATAAAGTTTAGATAATTCATAGCTCTACCAACAGAAGAAGCCAAAGCACGCAGCACTGGAAATTTTATTAATTGATGTTTATTTTCGGGACAACCTTAAAAAAAATAAATAAATAAAGGCTTTTGCCACCAAAAAAATCAAAAAATACTAACAGAAAAGCGACAGCCATCCAAAAAAATTATGTCCATTCCAAAGGTGTCACTAGCTACATTATATAGAATTGCGAACTACGTTCATTGTGTACATAGAAACAAATGGTTCTATATATTCTGGCGCCAATTTTTAAAGTAATGCAATACGCCACATTTTTAACAAAACGTACAAGCATTTATGCGGTTTACTGTGTAAATAGCTCAAAAATGGAAAAATTGTAGTTAGCCACATTTGGAACTAATCCATCGATATATAGTCTAGGGAAACAAGCTTTCTTTCGTGACACTCGTCTGGCTAGGCAAACGACAGTTGTTTTGAGTAGTATGGACCTATATTCGCTTTGCGCAAGTACTTGGAGGGGATACGAGAAACCATCGTGCGCATGCAGCGGTGAAATCTTGCAACTTTGAATCCCATTTCTCTAGATGAAATCCGTCCCCATACATTGGCGCTAAAATGACCAGCTGCTCGATATCTATCAACATATACAGGATTAAAACTATTATTATCTAGTCTGTACACCCCAATTTTGCCCTGTGACATAATTCTTGCAGTTTTCGCATCTTTAAAAGGATTCTCTTCTAATCTCTTTAAAAGCGTACGATCTTCATAAGCGGTAGATATTTTTGGACTTCCAGATCCTTGCTTTTATTTGAGAGGTTCTTGTTCTCTCCATCTTTTATAAATATTAAAAACTTTTGTTCTGCTTACGTTAAAATGGTTCGCTACAGCAGGTAGTGACCAACCATCTTATAATTTTGTTACAATTCTTGCTTTTAGTTCTTTGCTAGCATGTGGAGCTATTTTTTGATGTTTGAACAAAATAAGTTATCTGACAAATTTTAAGATTTGGCACTGACAGTATGTAAATAATTTATCCCTCAAAATACACTGTTTAATTTTCTACAAAATTCGCTGTGAGAGTCGTATCAGTCTTTTTAGGAACCAGCTGTACATTTGAAGAGATTAGGCACAGCCTACCTTGCCTACCTCGACTGACCCCCCCCTGGCAGTAGGAAGACTCAGTGTTGTATTGAAAAACAAAAAGATAGAGGATAGATAAATTTAAAGATTCACCAGTTATGAACTATGGAATAGAAAACGTGGCATTTACGAGTTATCAGCCAATAGATTAAGAAAAACATAGAGGATTATCGAACGAGCTGTTATGAGTTTCTCTGGGAGAACATATATGAAATGGAATTGGGTAGGACACGTGGCACGACAAAAAAACGAAAAGTGGACGAGAAACATTATACGTTCTAGAGAATGGAGAGAAACACGAAACGCAAGTCACAAAACAGAGAAGAGTGGAGAACTCGTGGAGAGGCCTTTACCAAGGAGTGGATGCAAACAGGCTGAAGAAGAATGTTTATTTAGATAGTATAATATTATTTTAAGTCATAATTTTCTTATTTATTATCCAATTTTTTAATGTCTATTTTATATGTCCAGTAAATTCATCATCATCTTTGGATCTACAAACCTGGGTGGGTTTTGGCCTGTTGATGAATAATCCTCCATTCCCCTGGCTTTCCAATTTCTGACCCCTAGATTCCTCAAGTCATCTTCGACTTGAGTTTTAAATGTAGATCTTGGCCTGTCTCTCTTCCTGGTTCCTGGCTCTTGATATAATATCTGTCTTTGGGGGTCTCCAGTGTCCATTCTTTCAAGGTGTCCTAGCCACCTTAGTCTATTAATTTTAATAGACCTGACGGTGTTGCATTTTTCATAGCATTGACACAACTCAAAATTGTAGCGAATATATTATACGCCATATCCCGCTTTCTTGTACTCCACCGTATATGTGTCGAAGTATTCGTCTTTCAAAGCGGCCTAACAGTCCTTCGTCGCTTTTTACCATAGTCCATGTCTCTGACGCGTATGTTAGGACAGGTTTAATAAGAGTTTCATATATTAGTAGAGATAATTCATAATATCGTGGACCTGACGTAATCATTTAATCACGTCAATCTACGAACGAAACAATAATATCAGGCGTTGCTAAAAACATGCAGTTCTCTTCAGCGCGTTATCGTAGCGAGACAGAGACGAACTAGTTTTTGCGTTAGTGAAATAGTTTTAATATTTTATTTTTTTTTGTGAAAAATCGTTTTTAATATTCTATTATTTTTTGGATCAATCTGAATAAAGAAGGTTAATTGTAATTTTTCTTCAAAGTTGATCGTTTTCAACTTATAAACAATTTAAAACTGAAAAAAAAAAAACGAAAAATGATAATTGAAGACTCAAAAACACACAATTATTTTTGAATTCACCAAACCTTGTTCTATCAGTATCTGATACTTTAGTTTGGGTTTATTTAATTTAAAAAACATTCTTTTTATTTGATTGAGGCCCTTATCACAACCTAAAAATGGATTTATACAAAACTGTTTAATAAATAAGGACCACTATTAAATAAGCAAAAAATTTCATGGAATATTTTTCCCAAGGAATTCGAGGTTTTCGTCTCGTATAAACATATTTTGCTGAATTTAAAACCAAAGTCCTATTATTTTTCTATCATACATTGATTTGTTATTTATTTATTTGTCCTCTAGATTTTTTCATTTCTTAAAAGGTTTATTCATAAGCCAAATTAGTGCAATGTAAATATTTTACATTTTTACACAGCAGTTCTTATCGACAGTGCAGATGGGAAGTCGTACATTTTTGTTACATCTTTCAATGTGAGATAAAATAAAAATGCGATGACTAACTGGAAGGTTTAAGAGTAGAGAAATGTAATATGCCATGTTTATTGGAAATACTCGACATCATTAGCACGTGCAAATCCTACCCTGTCGCCCAATTTCTTATGAAATTAAAATGGTGCATGTTTTTAGGATCCATTTATTTTTTCGGGCATGCGTATTTACGAGGTCCACGAGGTTTTGAAACATCATTATCTTGGTTTTTCTGCTAATTATGTGTGATGTTAAGAACTGCTTTAGTCCAAAGTAAGCTCTGTTCGCCAGGTATCTTCTCTTAATTTCTACGCTTACTAGGTTGTTGTTATTTAGTTGTGTTCCAAGATATATAAACTGTCCAGTAAATTATTGCTATAAAATTAAAGTAAACTGAGAAAAAGTAAATAATAAAAACGATAATGAAACTCTTTAATATATACTTATTATAATACCATAAATACACTTAAAATATGCTTTATACACTATTTTATTCTTAGAACTTTAAGCTAAACCCTGGTCCTCCTCTCCTATTATCCATTCCCATTCCTAACCGGAAACCATACCCGTCATCATCTCCATCTCTTCCCAATTTCTTATACTCTCCTCCGCCAGACGGTGGCTTTGGACTAGCAGCCAACGCCCTCTTGTGTCCTAGCTCGCTTTTGGCCGGCCACGTGGGGAACATTGCCGGGTCAATTGGTAACGGAGGTTCGGTAAAGTAGGCATGCTTTAAACCATCTTCGGCTGTAACTCTTTCTTTCGGATCGTACGTTAAGAACTTGATAAGAAGTCCGATACCTACTTCACTGAGAGTATTAAATTTTCCACGAAGGTTAGATACTGGATACTCATTAAATTTCATTTTTTTAACTGCGGGTAGTTGGTTGAAGCCGGGCCATATCTTTTCGTTTGGAGTACCTAAATCCTAAAAATTAAAATCATTATATTAATACATAACAATACTGTTTTTGATAATAGAAAATACCTCATTGCAGGTCATGCAGGATATTGTCAAATTTTTTATAAATGTCAAAAAAAACTTGAAAAATAGCAAATAATAATTAAACATTAAATACATACTTTAAATATCCTATTTAGCTGATCGACTTCAGATTTTCCTGGAAACAGAGCATTCATCAAGAGTAACTCAGCAAAAATACATCCGACTGACCAAAGATCGATAGGTGTGGAATATTCCTTTGCACACAACAGCAGTTCTGGTGCTCTGTACCATAAAGTAACAACTATAGGTGTGTAAGCTTTTAAAGGAGATCCGTATTCTCTAGCCAAACCAAAATCTCCTACTTTCAAAATTCCTTTGTGAGACAGCAGCAAATTGGAAGTTTTTAAATCTCTGTGAAGTATCCAATTGTCGTGAAGATGACCTACAGCTAAAAGTAGTTGCCTCAGCAGGCATTTTATCTCTCCCGGCATGAAATGTTGCTTCTTATGCCTCATAGTTTCCATTAAAGATTTTAGGTCATGTTCGACATAGTCCATAACTATGAAAATCTTGTCCATGTTGCTACCAACAACTATTTCTCGAACTGTGACTATATTAGCATGTTGACCTTTGAGAAGAGTGTTGATCTCTCGCAAGGATGTTATGGGAAAACCTTCCTTTTCTTTTTCCATCTTCAGTCTTTTAAGGGCAACAATGTCGTCGGTTCTTTTATCTCTAGCTCTATACACCACACCATATGTTCCTTCTTCTATTCTATTTAGGCACTGGAATTCCTCGACTGATCTGCAACCCTGAAACAGACAGATATATTTGAAAAAATGCCCATATGAAGCATATATGGAAAGATTGTATTTTTTCACAAATTAAAAAAAAACTTGTACTAGGACAATAAAAAAAAATTAGTGATATTCAAACATACCTGTACAGCAGGAAGATATGGTGGTAAAGACTCATCAACTTTCGGTTTTGGCTTATCTGTCGCTTTGTCATCTTTATCTTTCATATCCATCTCCATGTCATCGTCGTTATCGTCACTCTTCGGCGTCCTCGAACCTGAAGCAGATCTTGACCTCGATCTGTCACTTTCACTTCTACTGATACTTGGACTACGACTTCGGCTTCTACTTCGACTTCTTGTTACTGATCTCTTATCGGAATATGGACTACCGTCACCTACAACGCAAAAAATTTATGTTATTGGATATGGATTTACAAAATTTCCCGATTTATCTATACATATCGAAAATTCTTGTCATGTAGTGTTATTTGTAATAACCTTAAGGATATCTTATTTAATTATTTAAATCATCTGCACCTGCATTAATTTCTTATTAAATGGAATCCGACTGAAACAATTCATTGTTTGTTTACATTCGAGGTTATACAATTGCGATAAGTATTTTACTACTATCAAGAAAGCTAATACTGTGTAGTACATAGTAAATTAGGCAACACAATGTAACTACTTTGTCTACAATAGATGTTGAAGACAAAAATGTGAAAGTCAAATTTGTATTGTGATAAATAAATCAATATTTAGCCCCTTTCCACCAAGTGTTTAGAAAATTAGTCACTGAGAATTCTATTGAATTTCAAGTTTATAGTATAGTCCAGGAGCCATGGCTGTTTCGTGGTCAATCAAAGTTCACGAAGTTTCTCCTATGAATTTTATAAAATTGACAATTGACAGCGTTTTAGTAATGTTGACAAAAAAGGTTAGAGTAACTCCTTGTAGGGGTTTAGACATTGAGCTAACTAAAAAACCATTTCATACAATGCCTCACACAAACAACACTGAACTACTGAGACTGTTATGAATGTCGCAGGGTTAAAGAAAAAACCCTCATGAATATTGTTTTGATTCTGAAAGAATATGTAAAAAGAAAATTAATATTACCTTTAGACCGTGAACTGTCCCTGGAGGAATCGCTATGAACTGAAGGGCTCTTGTCATAAGCAGGACTGTGATCACTTTCGTATGTCTTGTGTTGATAAACTTCTGGCTCCAAATCTGAATTGTCAGACACTATGACAGCCGCATCTTCTAATTTTTGCCGCTTTCTATAAATATCCTCGTCTAATTTCCTTTTAGTTGCCTTCTCCAAATGACGACGCTCTCTTTCCATTCGGGATTGCTCTTTTAACCTGGCCATTTCTCGTTCTAGAACAAAAAACATAACAAAATTTAGATCAGACTTAAAAGAAAGCTCCTTACGATAGAAATTTGTATCAGTTACATCAAAATAAAGCTAAAATTACATTACGCTTGTCTTATTCTCATATAAATTTGTATGATATAAATCCTTTCATTTCACATTCCTGTTAAGCTGTGAATTTCTATTTAAATATTGGTGTAACAATTTTTAAATTCGAACAAATAAAAAGATTAAAGCTAAACAAACAAATAAATAAACTTTATATTACCTGCTTCCATGAATTTTTGCTTTCTCTGTTCCTGTTCAGCCCGTTCCTCTTCGGTCATTTTTGATTCATCCTTATCTTTTCTTTGCTTTTTATCCTCAGTGGTGATATGAATAATTTCTTTAACTAATATTCCTGCCTCGCCTCCCAATGGATCAACATTGCGAGATTTGTGTTTTCTCTCTTTATGTGAAGATTTATGCCTAGAATGTCCAACTGAAACAAATATATCTAAAATAGTTTAAAAAAACATACTTAAGTATCTCTAAGCAGACTTAGCAATAGCCATTATTTGAAAAATTAACATTGACATGCCTGTGATAAAATTCAAATCATATTTTCAGTCCCAAGTATTCTAAGAGAGCATATGGCACTTAAAAAAAGTTTAAAAAAGCTTCTAATGCTATATGTTCATGAAATGTGTGATGTATCTCTTTCTTTATAGGTACAGTGATTAATGATTCAAGAGTTAATAATTATTTTGAAGAAAAACCTACCTTCATCATCACCTTTATTGGATCTTTTACTGAGTAATCGTGCTCTGAAATCGTGCAAGGCTTTGTCAGCTCTGCTTCTCTTGGAATCATCATAATAGTCACGACTGTGTTTGTCCGAATCTTTGTGTCGTAAGTCCTTACTTAGCTTTTTGTCATCATGTCTCTTCATTTCAGAATGTCTGCTCCTTGCTTTGTCCTCTTGCCTGTCTCTATAATGTCCATCATAATTGGACTGTTCAAAATGTTTTTCTCTATAATATCTATCTTTTTCTCTTTGATGAAGTTCACGATCTTTTAAAGAACGACTTGATTTCTCCCTAAAATGAAAAATTTATTTGTTGGTTTTTGCATTCAATAGATGTCTCATAAATTTTTTATTTACTACTTAAATTTTCACCTCCAAAACAATATTTAAGAATTACTTAGAACCTGTTGGTTAATATCTTTGTTATAAATTTTAATAAAATTGAAAATCAAATCATCAAAATCATTAGACAAAAGAACCAAAATGACTATCTAAAAAACATTAATTAGACCTATAGTAAACTATGGTTGTAAGAACTGAGGGTTGAATTTACCGAAGGTACAAGCTGAATATAGCCGCAAATGTCAAAAATAATTGAGTTTGGCACTGTTGGAATGTTATTATAATGCATATGTTGTATGCTTCAAATATAAAGAGAGACAGATTTTAAAAAGTACATTTTGATTATTCTATTTTATGAACTCTGCAATTTTTAATTTATATGAAACAATAACAAGAACATATTTGTCCCTTTCGAGATTAATTGCAAATATCTATTGCAATCTGGCAACTGCTGATTTGACGATTGCGAAATCTATCACCTAATCTACCAAAGGTTAATTGCTAAAAAAAGTTCTAATAATTAACCCTCTAACCGGTAAGTCGTCCCTGAGGATGACATTCTTTTAATTCAAATAATTTAATAAGTAACATGTTGTGTCGATCAAACCGTTTAGACATCTTTTAGTATGTTTCAAAGTAATACATTGTTGGCCGTTTGAAAATTGTACGATGCGCCATTCAAAATTTATTACCAGTCGAGTAAGAACAATAAGTGAGTAGACACGTATTTATTATTGCTCCGTATTATGAACAAATAAAAAATTGTAACAGATATTTCTAAGTATCGGATTATACTAGGAATTTTCGTAGTGAGTATATAAATATATATATTTTCCTAATTTATTGTTCAATATTGTGCAATATGTAGTTTCTTCTCTGTATTTGTTATATTGTATTGTCATCCTCAGAGATGACAAAACGGTTTACGTGAATTATTTTTTTAATATTCACTATTGTTCTTGATAAAACTTTTTGTGAATTTTGAGTTTTTTATCACCTAAATTTATTTTTGTTGGTTTGTAGAAAGACAAAAAGAAGAAACAATGAACGGACAGCTACCACAACGTTTTTTTATTAGAAAAAAATTGTCACAGCACAATGAATTTAAAAGACAAAAGAAGTATAATTTCTCAGATATATCTGAAGAAGAACAACAGGAATTCATGAACTGGATTGAAAGTTCTGAGGAAGAAGTGGAGGGTGATTTCGACGATGATGATGACAATGCAGATCCAAATTATATACCAACTGATATAACTCCAGTAGATGAGCAGTGTATTTCCGAAAGCATCGAAGAAATTAATACAGCTGAGTCCCGGACTCTTTCATGGAAGCAGTTCAATACATTCTATAAATACCGTCGAGTCCATGCTGATAAATCTACTAATAGTGATGAACCAAAGGAGAAATTAAACCAATTACTTTAATTTCCTGAACAGATAGCTGCTGGCCTTGTGGCGTATACACAAAGACGTTCTGTTGGTCGACAATCTTCTCTCAGTCCGTACATCCTGGTACTAGTAATGTTGGTCAGAAAGCTAAATATCCTGTAGCCGATATCAGATACGCCAACTACGACCATTTTCCAATATGGCTAGGTAAATCAGGAGAAAGAAAGAAATGTAAATATTGCAAAGACTTTGTAACCTAATGTGTTTGCCAAAAGTGCCACCTACATTTGTGTTGCTCTAGCTCAAAAAATTGTTAATACGATTATCATCATAAATAATGCAATTTCCATGTCTGATATTTTATTCGAATAAAAATACATTTAACGAAATATACTGTTTTATTTCACTTAAACCGTTTTGTCATCCTTGAGGACGTCTTACGTTTTTTTTACCTGTTGAATCAGCCAATAGGGAAATAATTATAAGAACTTCATATTCGTCATTCTCATAGCAAGATTAACTAGAAACAAAAATTTATATAGGAAAATATGCACTATTTCAGATTTTCCTGTTAGAGGGTTAACTGCAATTAATCTCCAAAGAAACAAAAATTTACTCACTGTTGTTTTATATAAATCACAAATTGTAGAATGCATAACATAATATAAACAAAATGTACTTTTCTAAAGCTTTATATAATTATATTTGAAGCATACAGCATCTACATTATAAAAACATGCCAACACTGTTATACCAAAATTTTTTGTTGCATGTTTGACATTTCGGTTCAGCTTGTACTTTCGGTAAACTCAACTGAATTGAGTAATGAAAACAGTATATGGCCTGGTGCATAAGGAAGATGGCACATGGAAAATCAGGAGAAATGATGAGATTAATAAATTGAAAGATAAGCATGATTTTGTAAGATTTGTTAAATAAAAGTCAGAGACTGTCATGACTGAGACATGTACAGAGACAAGATGACCTAAAAGCTATGACTGTAAAACAATGGAGAAGACATACACAATGGAGGTCTGAATAGAGGGACATAGCCAGACAGGCAAAGACACTTACAGGATTAGGATACCAAAATAAGAAGAAAAACAAGATACTTCTTTTAATAAGATGTTTTTGGATTTACATGTTTAACAGCTTCAATATGGTCAGCTGTATATTTAGGTGGTTGTCTGTTTGTAATTTTTTAACTGATTATACCCAATGTTGTCATCATTAAGTGATATTTACTAGATAGTTAAATGTAATGTAAAATAGGAAATGACTATTTACCTATGTTTTTCTCTATGTAGATATCTTTCATCCCTATGGCGATCAGACTTCTTCCTCCTATCTTGATCTTTCTTTTTACTCTTAGATGAGGAGACATGAGAGGATGATTTAGCTTGTGGTGGTTTAATATCTAGTGAGTCTACAGCCTCGCCTTCTTCCTCCTCTGAACCACTGAAATATATTATGAGATTATAGACAAAAGTAGCAAATTAAAAACAAATATTGTTCGACTTCATTTAAATTAATATAGTAACCATAATTATATTAATTGAATGTTAACAAATAAATTTAGATAATTTTCCAAATACGCAAAATTGACAAAAACGTTTATAAAACGATAGTGAAAACTAACCTTAATTCTACAGTTTCTTGTTCTGGCATTTGTTTAGGATCAACGGGGCTTTGACCCAATTCTCCATCTTCACTTTGCTCTCCAGCAGATCCATTTTCGGACATAATTAATTAAATAGGCCTTATATAGCTTATTTATTTTTGTTACTTTTTAAAGTTTTTACCTACAGATAAGCGCTAATCTAAAATCAAATTTTGACTTTTGACCACAGTACATAGTGCTCTAGTCTAGTAAGGTAAGTCCCATAGAAAGATTTGGGAAAGAGTTTCGAGCGCCAAATGCGGACGGGCCGAAACTAATTTCCTTTGGCGGCAAATTTAAAACTATGTTCTAAATTTTGGGCGACAAATTCAAAAAATGTGCTCTGAATTTTAGTCGACAGAATCCAAAAAATTTTCTTTTAATGGAAAATAGTCATAAAATAAGAAATAAAAAGTTATTCTAGGCCAAAAAATATATTCTCTCTGTCCAAAAATATAGTACTTATACAGATATGCATTTTTATATATATGTATATAAAATTTATATATTATGTATATAAATGTATAACATAATATCAGACAGAGTATATTATGGTATACAGAAGTTTTTATTTAATATTCTACGGCCATTTCTGTTTTCCATTACCTTAACAAACAAAAAAAGTCCCGACAAGAACAAAATAAAACACAGATACTTGTTTATTTGTATAATTTTCTTTGGTAAAGTGTTAGCAACAAATATCTTAATCCTCCTCATTCCTTAAGCTATTGTCAGGGTGTGGGTGGGCCTGTGGGGACAATCTAAATGTTGTTAGCTTGCTGTCTCCCATTGGCAACGATCCTGTACCAGATGGACAACTTCATGTAGGGATTTTTCCACCGATCTTCATTTAATCTTCTTCTCATGTTGGGTATTGATAAACAAATAATATAGATGCCTCTATATTCGGTAGTACTGTTTTGTTATAAGTTCCATACCTCCTAAAATACTCTTCATTAAAGGCCTATCTGTAGATAATAATGTGCAAACTCTAGCATTTCTGCGATTTTGCTCTTCATGATCATCTGATCATCACAAATTAGTATGTAAATACTGTTCAGAAGTAGGTCAAAATCTATAATAATGTAATATTATTAAAATTAAGAATGTACGACTTTTTATAAAATAAGGAAACTTCTACGAATGCAATTAAGAATTTTAATGATTTTAAAATCAGTATATAAATAAAAGAGTCGTGTGGTTAAGATTTAAAGGTAATTTAACTACAGAAGACAAAATATACAAAATAGTATTGAGTTTGTATTCATTAACAAAGTTCTTACCTGGTGGCGGTGCTTGTAAAAATAAACTCACTCTCAGAATGTTTATATAGCCCTTCGTCCTTTCACCCATCCACAAAAAATATTCTTTTGTTTTTTTCGGTTTGGAATAATGCTTTGGTATTGTACATTCTTCTCTTTTAGCGATGTTTGTTATTGTTAGATATAAAAATTAATGTATACTGTTAAAACGCCAATTGCGATTACAATGTTGCCATTAACACATTTTTTTCGGTGGATACTACAAATTCATTAGAAATAAGTAATTGTAAATTTAAATTGTGATTTTAGTAGAATTTGCTACAATGTTTTTTTTTTGGTTAAACATTGTATAGTATAATCACTATTATGTGTAAATAATATGCAAAACTAGTGAAACCTTGGCAACACCACTTACATAAACATCATACATACGACGCCTCTTGCTATGTCATATCTCCACCACAGAATAATAATAAAAAAGAATTGTTTATTATTCTGTGCCTTCACCTAACGAACGTGACTAGTAGCGCCGTCGCTATTATGAACGGTTGGCCCAAGCAATTCATTCTCCCCTCTTGTCCTATTTCACTTACACTGCTATTTGTGGTTTGTACTGTGATTTTGACAGATGATTGACATTGACATTAAATTGACCCAAATTGACAACCTTCGAATAATGAAATACCTAATAAAAAAACTGTTGAAATTTTTGTATATACTCAATTATGATATTTTACGATAGTGGGCAACAAAAGAACTATTATTACGCAGTTGTTCTTAAGATTATTTATTTATTTTACGTTATTTTTTAAGGTTTTATTCAAGACCTACAGAAGAGTTCCATATCCATAGAATCTAAAGAGTTTTTGTTTCTTAAGTTTATGCAGTGCGTTTATGGAACGATACTGTCAAATTAAATTCAAAAAAGTAACCTCACTTTTTCATTTTAACTTACTAGTGTTAAAGTTGCTCGTTTTTTTGTTTTTAAAGGTTTGTTGAATAAATCAATTACAGTACTCTATTTCGAATTGATCTCGATAATGATACAAATTTGCGAAACAAATTGATTTAATAGAAACAAGTAGACAAATATAGGTATATTCGGGGCATGTTTTACCGCACCAATACACTTAACTAAAACTCTACATTGTTGTAATGTGGAAGTGAAGCAGATTTCAAATTTAAAATAAAATACAGGGTGTTCCGTTTAAAAAAAACATAAGTTTGTAACTAATTTTAAAATGTGGAGTTTAAAGCTGCCTACAATTTTTATCAATAACTTTTTTTGTAATTTTTACTATAACAGATCTACTGAGCTTCCTCACACTAATCAATCACCCTGTATAATAAAATGTTATTTTATCTTTAAAAATTAGTGAAAATAAAATTCTTCAGACTAAATCCAAAAAAAATTGATTTTTGGCAAAATGTATTGAATTAAAATATTTTCCTTTGTTACTACATCTTATAATATTTTTTTTTTGGTTGTAGTTACAATGGTTATTAAGTTGAATTTAATAGCTGCCGCCTCTGAAAATATGGGCATTGGAAAAAACAACAATTTGCCTTGGAGATTGCAGTAAGTACTTACATATGCAAAATTTTCCAAAAAATACCTATAGGTTGGACCTATCATTTTCATTGGGATGCAAATTCCTTATCATGTTATGTTCATTTTAGAAGTCAAAGCAAAATAAATGAATTTTATTGTTATTTACAAATAATAAAAAGTACTTTCTGGTTTTTGTTTTCACTCTTCTTCTGTTGTGATTTCTAAATAAGGTGTTCCTGCCTTCACGTTTTGTAAGTGTAAACCTGTCTTCACAACTTCTTCTGTGACCACTATGATAGAAAATTCACCACAGTGGTATCCCCCTAACTCCATACTTCTCTAATTTTCGAACTTGGATTGTGTGGTCCAAGGAATCAAAATCTTTTGATAAGTAAAAAATATACCCATCAAAACATGTTTTTCTTCCAACGAAATTGTAATTTTCTCCAGAAAATCATTCACAACATTTTTCTCGTATGATATACATGCTGAGATTCAAATACTTTTGATGTGCTTCGTGAAAGCTTATCTTCATAAATTAAATCAAATGGAATTGTTTAATGACAACTTTAATGGTAATACTGACAATATCAATCATTGGATGAATGACAGCATATATAATTATAATGCAATTAAGTATCTATTGGCAAATCCAATAAAAGAACAAAACACCGCTTCCTCAGAATAAATCTTTTATTTTATATCCCCAGTCTAAATCTGTTGACCCACTTCCCAACACTCGCCGTTGTGTCTTTCAAAACAAAACCTGAGAACTGATAAAATTGTGGATGTCTTTAACCCTGAGTTTCGCATATCAGTTCAATAACATAATGCAATAACAGTTCAGTAACGTTTTTTTTTTTGATAGATTAATATTATAGTTATGTTTTAAGATTACGTTTTTTTTAGAAAAGAAATGGAGTACTTCACAAGAATGACTAGCACTACCAATGATCCAAATAAAAAGAATGTTGTAATCATGGGCAGAAAAACTTGGGACTCTATTCCTAAAAAGTACAAACCACTTAATAATCGTATAAATATGGTTCTTTCACGATCTGAATTAGATTTGAGTCGATACACTGATGTATTTTCATTTACCAGTTTAAGTTCATGTTTAAAACGTTTAGAAGAAGATGATTTTAAGACTAAATATGAATCTGTGTGGGTTATTGGTGGAAGTTCTGTCTATCAGGTAGGTCGCTAAATATTTTAATTATGATTTATTCATTAATCATAACACAAAAAAATTGGCAGAATATCTATTATCACAAACTGGCAACAATGTCGTTAATTTATCGCATTCACATTTCTGAGAATTTACTGCCTACAAATTTTATTCTCAACTATAGTAAGTGATACTTCTTCTAATACATCATCTTCCTGGTTTATTCAACATTATTTTTGAGTGATCACTTTATTTCACATTTTCAATGCAGCTAGAGACTACTTAATATTAGAGTTTGATTCATGTAGTTACTCAAGTACTTAATGTACTCTTAAGTAAATAGATGATATTGTTGTTGGGGAGGGGGTTTGAACTGAATAGGACAGGCTAGTGGAGAAGTTTTTATATCTGACATGGCCACTACCAATGGCTAATAAGTTTAATTATGCCCTTCCTATCTTTATCTAATTTAAATAAAACAAAGTGAGTAAGGTATCATTAATATTCTTTATTCGTTTGAAAGACCTGCCGATGCAATTATGTTCTTGTGAGCGAAATGAAATCGACACATTTAAAACTTACTTTATGTCATTGTAGGAATATGTAAAATTAATATGGGGTTTTTCAAATAATTATTGCTTGCTTTTTATCATTTTTAGGAAACGATGAAATCAGAAAACTTTTATCGTTTATATTTAACTCGGATATTAAAAGATTTTGAGTGTGATACGTTTTTCCCAGAGTTACCAAAGGATTTAGAGAAAGTGACGTAAGTTAACTTTAATTTTTTTTTACATAATATTATCACAATAATTTGAAAGTTGGGAGACCAGCCCTGGCAAGGTATAAGTTGTATTGACATTGTATTCCTAGTTTTTAATAAAAACAAGTGGTTTCATTAAATAATTTTTTTAAATTAAAGTGTTTATCTACTAGATACTACTACGTAAGTCATCTTTACGTAATTATTATTTTATTATGTGAAAAGAAAACGTCAAATAATAAATATACACTACCGTGCAATCATTTTGTGAGGTTAGCTGCTATAAGTACCTTATAGTAGCATGCAGTTGGTTTGTCACTTACCAGAGTCGGAGTAAGGCCTTCGCCGCCGCATCTTAAATGACTTCACATAATGTAAACACACCTTCCGATCTAACCAGTCCAGTAAATCAACGTTCGAATATCACAAACAGTTAAGTATTAGTTGAAGAATTACAGAATATCGGTTTAAAGCTTATTTCCCCAATAAAATTTCTGAAAATTAGCTTGATTCTTCCCGAATATAGTCACATATTGAGCTTTCGGAGGCAAGTTTATATAAGCCCTATAACATCAGCAATTCCAGATTCTATTCTAATAAATTTCGACCGATCACCTTACCGCATATTTTTGTCACAAGGTTCACTCACCTGCTTTATTTGAAAAAATACAGGACATATATCATCCCAATGCAATAACAGTTCAGTAACGGAATTAACTTATATTGAGTCAAACAATGAAGTACCAAATCAAACAGCTTCTTCAAGTATACTACACAAGGTACCAAACACCCAGCAGTCATCAAGTTATCCATTATCAAATCATGAGCATATCACCTACACCTACAAATCTCCATTACAAAGAAATTACTAATACTCCTACTCATAGCAACACTTTCAATCAACCTCATTCAGCGGGAATACCGTTTTCACAAACTTCGGAAGCAATATCCTCCAATCTATCAGCTCCTTTTCCATTAGATACAACTGCAAAATCACCACAATTTTCTGAAACAACCATTTCAACTAATCTTACAAATAAAACTTCAAGCTCGACTTCTGTCACTACCAATGAGTTTGCTCCAGTACTTTCAAATGTAATAAAGCCACAGCATCTAAATAGCAATTGCGAAAACGCAAGTTCTTCCATAAAACGCAGTATTGGTGAGATCGTCACGCCTCCTTCAGACTCAGCAATTTCATCCGAAAATCTGTTTGCAAAACCCAAACCCTCTAAGCCAAAAAAACCATCTACATGGAAACTCTGGAAAATTTCATTGATAATCATACCCCACAATTCGTTTTAAATTACCACCAATTATCCTTACTGATTGATAATGTCCAAGGCTAAAGAATTTACAACTGATACTGCTGGTTTACTCCATCTTTTACAAAGCAGTTATCAATATGCAAATGATAGATCTACAAAAAGCAAGTTTACAAAACTTTCAAAAGAAACTACACAATCATTTGGGGAAAGAGATTTCTTACTTAGATAGTGACTCACCTGTAGACAATTGGCGGTGTTGGAGAAAAGTGGTATAAGTCTAAATTTTAAGTTTCGAGAAAAACGCAATTATAGTTTTTTCAAATTTAATATTGTTGTTTACGGATACAAATAAGATATTTTCGTTAAACAATTTTTGGAAATAGCTTTGAATTTGTTGGACTAAAATAGATCTACTAGTAAAAAGGACCTAGTTGTACAATTTTTTAAGAAAAATATGACTTATATCACTTTTCACAATTATTTATTAAAGAAAAAAGCCCTTCCGGAAGATATAGTAACAAATCTAATTATTAATTATAAATAAAAAAATGTGAAACTGAAAAGTTTTATGTTTAATTAAGGGGGTACATTTATAGTCAAATACAACGTAAAAGTTTATTTAATTTTTAAAAATTTCAATTTCTGTGTGTACACTCTCCTCGTCACTACTATTTTCATCCTCGGGTAACGTATTTGGTATATCCTCCTTCGTAGTTAAATTTTCTATAAAAATCATGAAATGTTTCAGAAATATAAGGCAATAGCTCTATCAAGTTCTTTTTTTTTTTTATCGATGTTTATTGGATTGGACCTTTATATGACAGAGGAATTTTTATGTTTTTAGGCCACGTATTACTTTTCTTAAAAAACATACGCTTTTAAATGGTTCGTCTACATTTAAGCTACTTTTGTATTCAAGACACCAGGATTCTGTGAAAATCTCAACCATTTTATTTGTTTCCACATGACTTTTTCTCCTAAGTTATTAATTTTTCTTTGTTGAAGGACATTCTTATACAAAGAAGAAAACTCAAGAAAATCCGATCTGCACATTTCAGTAACTAAAAAAGTTCGCTTATTTCCACATAATCTTACCAAATTCATCCAGTCTCTTGGGTGTTCTATCGAACATGGATATCTTTTCTTTTTTTCTCTATAATGCGTGATCTGAATCACACTCCATGTGGGTGTGACCAGGAACAAGAAATTTGTGGTTAATGTATGATAGATTGGGATTCTCTTTTAAAACCATCATGAACATTGCAGGTAGAAAAGAGTTCTTGTTTTGTCCTGCACACGTATCAGAATATAAGGTGATCTCTTTTATTTCAGGTGAAATATGTGAAATCTGCTTGTATAAGCATGACGCAATCTGATTTGCACCCCGTCCAGCTACGCCCTCATGCCACATAAAACACATTGCTTGATTATCATTAAATCTATGTAATGTTAAATTAAAGGTCCACAACTGCCTTTTATAGAATGCTATTGAAGTCTGAAGATCAGGTGTGGGGAGACACTGTTGCAAATCAAACGTATAAATGATTTTTGATTCATTTTCTAACGCAGCATTTTTATCTATACGCTTAGCCTCATAAGCGTTTGATGCTTCTTGTTGGTGATTTTCAAGAAGATTTTGAATTTCTTTGCATTTTTTGTGCATCTTTAGTTGTTTTCCAGAGCATATGATATTTATCGCATGTAGCGCAGGTATCCTTTTTAGGCTGTTTGATTTTTATTTCCATGGAATGGAATACTTCTTGATATTTGAATTTCGATACTGGGGTTTTCTCGTGAGGTAGCCATTTTTTGTATTCTTCATACATTCTTGTTAAGGTATAGTAATGAGGAAGATATATCTTTGATGAGTCACGACGACAATAGTGACTCTCATACGTTGGGATTGATCCAATGTGAACTCTTACTAATTGAATATCTTGTTCGGGAGTTTTGTTAGATGGTGAGGCAAGACCTCGCAAATCATCATGTGGCATTGCAGAAGCTGAAGAAATCTTGTTTTTTGTCACATCGGTTAGAAACTGTTTTGTTTCGTTAAAAGTTTTTAGGAAACAACTTTGACAAACGTTAACTAGTTGACCATTTAGTGGTAAAAAATATTTGTGTGACAGAAGCCTATTTTTATGTTTTTTGTTTTCTAATTTACGTTTTGTGGTTTTCTTTCCGTCTGTTGTTATAAGCCTAGCTTTAAAAAACACGCGTTTGTTAAAGCTCGCTAAAGACCAATATTCTTTGAAAATTTCCTGTCTTTTTTCTTCAGTTATCCTGTCTTTGCATTTTAAGCGGCAACTTAATAGCTCCTGACATGTCCGTGCTTTTATAACCTTCCCACTTTTCGTGGTGTACGATAACCCAAGGTTTCTGTTCTGCTTTCGTTCCTCACGAATTAGCCTAGTTTCATTTTTTAGCGATTTTCGTCCAGGTTTATTTTTTAAGATTTCTCTTCCTGACTCATGTGCAATAAGTGCTGTTGTATCTTTTTGCAACTTTTTCTTTGGGATGTCATTATCGGAGTCAGTATCACTTTCTTGTATATAATCTGGGTCCGCGTCACTATCATCAAACGCCTCCTCATTTACCTGGATATTCCAGATAACCTTTGTCGTCGTCATCAATCCCACATACTTGATCAATAACTTCTTCCAAAGTCTTTCGAACATTCGGTCACAGAAGGACAGTGAAGGTGCAGGACTTGATCTATTATCTTCATCTGCTAAGATAGGTTCTTCAAGGAAAACATCCGCATTGCCCATCATGGAATTTTCATCTAAAAACCCAGATTAATATCAGATTTTTGAAAAACTAATAAATTTTGTAAATTTTTTTTCCAAAAAATGAAAATTGTCACGCCAAAATTGGTTTTTACTTTTTATGGAAATTCGGTCCCCTCTAGAGAAAACCGAAAATATATTATTTTATGTATAAAATGATAAGAAATCTGAAATTGGAATTGAGTATGTAAGTTAAGCATCAACTTTTACATACATTAATTTTTAAAATTTTTAGAGATACAAATTAAGTAACGCCACTGGTTAAAGTTAACCAAAAACAATAGGCATATTCACCAAGTTATAGTTGAGTTGCATCTAGAAAACTTTTACGCAAAAATAAATGTTGTTAATCTAGTATGTCGTATAAAAAATAATGATATTACTGTTTTAATTATTATTGTACAGATAAATAAACAATTATTACCTTGGAGGTCTCCAGTATTTACATTATCTTCTTCCAACAGTTTGAAAATCAATTTGCTTCTTTGAGATGCCATAACCTCTAATTTTTATTTCTCACGGCTATTACTAAATAATCTCGAACAGGAATTGATGTTATGTTACAACTAGGTGAGGTATACTATCACTACACTACTTATTACATTTCTCTTGAATACTTAAAGCTTATTTAAAAGGTCAAAACAAAACTGGATAAAACCAACAGTAAGACACGTGCAGTACTAAACCACAAATGACAGACAAGTCGATTGAGCGGGTACAAAGCGGTCATTATTTTAATAGGGAAAAGCGAGGTAAGTCGACCTAACACTTCACAGTTTGAACTTCTATTGCCGTAACTACTAGTATATCTCAACATACATCATTAGTTTTCAATTTTGGAGTTAAAACATTTGTGATATGTCAACATATAATGTTTTTCCCTATATTTTTTAATGAGAATAGTGATATATTTTTACATATACCTTTATTCACAATCATATTTTACCAATAACTTTTGATATATTTGCACTTGTATCACTATTCACAAATATTAATCATAAAATTATATAGAGAAGACTATTATAACTAGACTTATTTCAGTTTTCTCTATAATTTTTTTTCCTGTCTGGCAGATGGAGGCATAACAAATAGTACTAGAATACTTATAACATTTTTCACTATATTAAATGATATTAAAAATACTTATATCATGTAACGCAAACAAATAACACCTGCTTGCCGCATTAAATTGACTTATATCACTTCACCCTATCAAAGATACATGCATTTGAAAGTGGTATCTATATTTAACTCATTTTTTACATTTTTCGACTTATATCACTTTTCCCCAACACCCGCCAATTGTTCAGTATCATCGAACTCCGAATCTTTTTAACAATATTCAACTCGATACTTAAATGGAACATTGATGGATTTTTCCATCGTTTCCCTATGCTACAGCTTGCTCTCTAAACTCATAAAGTTTTGAAAAGTTGCTAAAATACCAGCTTTCCCAAGCTCATGAACATGAAAGAAGCGTCCAATTTTGGGACAACAGGAAATGAAGAAGCTGACAGTACTGCACGAGAGGCAATTTTAAGTGATTTGTCGGAGCCGATAGACAAGTGTATTTCCAGTGACTTAAAAGCTTATTTTAAAAATAAAGTGTTTTAAAATCTAATATGGTATTAAATTAAGATATTTCAAAGATTTAATTGTATACACGCTTAAAACTCGAAGACTGTCCTTCTCAGAGTGCTTTTCTTCTTCTCGAAATTTAACAAGCTTTAAAAAAAAAGTAGGACTTACTTAAAAATGTCAACTTGCCTAAAAGAAGACCAGACTGTTTCCATTTCTAGGAAGATACCCAAACATAGAAAGGTTCTAGGTGAGTAACTCTGTAAATAGCTTTTACGGCTGTGTTCACGAAAGTTATCAAAAAGGAACCGCCTGGGACCGAAAAAGGTTAATAAGGCTCTACTATAACATATTCTACTTCGATCTCTTTTGATGAGTACGAACTATCCGTGCTTTGAGAACTCCGTGATAGTCCGTATGTTCCAATAAAATTTGCTAAGGGTGAGAGGGCCCACCCGCATATCTATTTGCGGATACGGCCATGGGCGTATCAGCAACAGGGGTAAAGGGATTAAAAATTATGTACTATTTTAATTATAAAAAAAAGCTGTTACAACTTGATGTATTTTATTTATAGTTTTATTATTATTATTGATATGTATATTTTAGGGACCCAGCTGTACCCGAAGAAAAGCAGAGTGAAAATAATATTGATTACACCTTTAATGTTTACCAGAACACCATATTTCAAAAATGAGATCTGAGGTAATTGTTTATTTTTTATAAATAAATATGTTACCAACTAAATTATTGTGCTAGTAAACATAGAGCAGCTAGTTTACTATTTCTTTTCTGTTCACTTGTATTTTTTAAATATTTCCAAAATTTATTGTCTTGTAAAATTTTTTTCACTTGTTGTTTCATGGTAAATAATGGCTGTGGCGTTGGAGTTAAAGATTTCAACAGTGTTGGTAGAAAGCTCCTCTTCGTTAAGTGCATACAGGACTTCTGAGTCTAGTATAATCTGAAATGCACTCTCAAATAACATGACATAAAACAACACAAGCTAATAGTTCAGTGTCTTACATTTTTTTTATCTTTCATACAGATACAAGTTGCTGTTTTCTTTGTAATATGCGCATCATGTTCTGTAGCATCTTTGTTATTTTCTCTACTTTTCATGCAGCAATAATAATTTTTAATTAATATTGCGGTTATTGTAATAATTAGGGTATATGTATTTATAATTTTAGCAACTTTTTTAGGTTATAATACCACAATGGTGTAAACAAGAAGAATTTTTCAGGATTCAGGTTTTATTGAAAATATTCCATTTGGATCTGTATTTATACATATTTTTAAAAATATATTTTTATAAAACTGTCGAATTTTGAGTTTTATTTACAAGTGACTTTGAGTGTTCATGATCTCTTGTATCATTAATACCTTTACTAATGATAAAAGGGAATTCACATCCCAAATATGTTCTTTGTCATTCTATATTAATAATTATTATACAATTTTCACACACAATACTTCAAGATAAATTACAACTCTTCTTTACTTTTATTTCGTAGATTTCTACATCAAACTCTATATAGGGGGCTCCTTCAGACAGTGATATTGCGGGTAAATTTCAGACAGTGTTGGCAACACTGACATCAAAACATTCCATTACTACTCACACTATTGTAATTGTAATTCAGTCTGTAGAACAGTGCAGTAAAGGGTTCATGCCATAAAGTGAAAAGTTACTTTTTGGTGGTTGAAACTCAAATTTTTGGGTTAAAGGTAAGATGAGTTTTTATTGGAATTATTGCTGTATAACCTGTACCATTCACATTCTAATGTGAATGGTATAACAATCACACTCAATCCAATCACACATACAATATAACCTAAGAGTGCCATGTTACCGATGGCACTCTTAGGTTATATTTTTTACATTTAGTCTGGACACATCGAGTGAGGCACTATCAGACAAACGCAATGGAAAACAGAGACACCTTTTTTTAAATAACGTGCTTAAAAGTTATATATATTTATTATTAGTTATTTAAAAAGGCTTCTCGTTGCAGATTGTCTGAAGATGGCAAGAAATAGGAAGAAAGAAAAAAACAAAAGAAAATTTCGATGCCGAATCTATAAAAAAATGTGTAGCGGCCATCCTAGATGGTGAATCGATAAAAAATGCTGCTAAAAGATTTGTATTAAAATATCAAACTGTCGGTATGTACGTTAAAAAGTTTAGGGATAACCCAGATGGCGAACATGACATGAAATTAAGAAAAACGTTACTAGAAAAGATACGTTTTTATTGATAAAACGACCTTGAGGCATATTTAATTAAGTGTTCAAAAATGTTCTATGATCTTAACAATCTAGAATCTCGAAAACTAGCACATGAGCTGGCCAAAATGAACTATATTGATTGTATTATTCTACTGTTGCTCCACTTTTTCTTATTTTAGAAGCAGTGATAGCGCTGACATGACCGCTCCCTAGTGTTACAAATAAGGAACTAAAATCATGATCAACTTCTATTGTTTTGTGTTCAACTTTTGCCGACGCTAAAAAATAACAGTGCAACATCCTTCTATATGCGTCTATATTCTTTGGTCTGACTGTTGTCTCTTCGCTTCCTCCCTCGTTCTTCCGCAAATCTAGGAAAAGGTCATTTTCTTGTATTTTACAGGTGGTTACTTTTGTTGGTTCACTAATTATCTCCATTTCGCGGTTTTTACAAACTTATTCAGGATTTATATCTTTCTGTTAGGTTTCGTAGATACAGTGCGTTAAGTTTTGGATTAGGTATACACTCTATAAATGGCAACACTGCGCGTCGTCAACTTGCAATACATATCTACCTCGTTGCACGTCGCCCGTCGGCAAATTTGTCCTATTGTCATTATACCGTGGTTGTTTAAAGTATAACAGCGTAGAGTTTTAATTATTTTTGTAAACATGTCTGTTTATATGGCCGCGGAAAAGCTCAAATAATAAAATGGTTTTATAGTGGCAATTCTGCGCAACAGTGTGTAGATTTATTTTCTGTTTTTTGAGGGAAGACCAATTCCTTGTGTACAGTCAATTTATAATATTGTTAAAAATTTTGAGAGTTGTTATTGCCTCAAAATTGCAGAAAATGTCACGCTCGAGAAGTGTTACCAGAAAAAGTTGAGGAAAGAGAATACCGGATACACAAATTTGTGCAACAATCGAGGTAGATTCACACGTTCAAGTAGAAGCGTTGCTAGAGAGTTAGATGTTAGCAATGTTACTGTAACGAAAGTATTGAAAAAGCACGGTTACAAGAATTTAAATATTCGAAAACGCAGCAGCTTTATCCAGACGATTACTTTCGAAGAATGAGTTTTGTGAAACTCTAATAACGAAGGCTAATAGTGAACCAAATTTTATTAAAAACATTTATTCACTGATGAATATTCTGTTTCGTTAGTAGGGAGACACAATCCTTCCATTATGAGGTATTGGGCGCGGGAAAACCAGCACAGAAGTGTTGTTTACCGAACTCAACGTCCTCAAAAAGTTAACGTCTGGACTGGCATTTTAGGAGACCACATAATAGGTCCATTTTTTATTGAGGGCAACTTGAATAGTAGAGTATACCTCGATTTGTTACAGAATCATGTTCTTCCCGCTATTCTCAATCTTCCTGATGTAAATCTGGAGAATGTTTGGTTTCATCAAGACGGCTGTTCAGTTCACAACGCTCAAATTATTAGGGAGTATTTAAACAATACTTTCCCGAATCGAGTTATCAGTGGAACAGGCGATATTAAGTGGCCTGCGCGATCTCCAGATCTTACACCCATGGACTTCTTTTTTTGGGTACATTTAAAAAGCATTATCTACGCTCATCCTGAGCTAGAGCCCAAAATTTGGATGAATTAAAAAATCGAATAAGAGAAGTCTCCAATTCTGTTACAGCAGAAACTCTTTCATCTGTTCGCATAAGTTTTTATGACAGATTGGGGTACTGTTCAGCCATAGAAGGTCAACTATTTGAACCATTTCTGTAGGTCATAAAGAATTATTTTTTATTTTATTAGGAATAATATTTTAATTTTCAATAAGAGTATATTTTTTATTTTATCTTTTAAAGAAATACGCTTTTATTTTTATTCAACCACAAAAAAATTTCACATTAATTCGATAACAATGCATCTAATCGATTAGGTCAGTGCATTTTTATCGAATTTCCTACTATTAAAAATCGGCTTTACGTAATGAAACATGAAATCGGACGACAGAGAAGCACATCCCTAACGTTGTTGTGAGTTACTAAACTAAAATAAATGATTTTCTGTCGTGTAGATTCTCGGGTCAGAGAACGAACATTTGCAACGTTGCCGATTTTAGCGCTCCGTATAGTGTGCAATACCTAATCAAAAACTTAACGCACTGTATTAGGAAAGGACATTAAAAAAAGAGAAACTACTAATAAATTAATTTTATTTGTTTCCAAATTTTTGATACAAAATTATTAATTCGCACTACTTAGATTATAATATCACATTTCTGATGTGGATATTACAACCCACAACTTACTCTAAAAACAAGTAAGTGAAGTCACAATATACCAAAAACGAATACACAAAAATTACAAAAAAAGTATTCATTGGCAATTGGAGCATTGAATAGAATTCACTACGATCACAACTCAATATTTTAACTACAGTTTTAAAAAGTCTACATATTTCACATTGGTAAAGCCCAGGAAACGTCTGCAGAGTTGTATTCAAATGCAAGTCTGAACTTTTTTCAAATTAAACATTTTATATGACCCGAAATAAAAATCTGTTCTTAGATATTTTTTACAAATTATGCATGATGAACTTAACATAAGAATACAAAACTGAACAAGTGTCCTGCAAATTTTTAAAATTATCATAGCCAGTTAAAATTTATTAAATAAATTAATTTAAAAAATTCTTTTTTGAAATAAAAAAAAAATCGTAAGTAGGCCATTTTGAAAATATTAAAACGAATGTTATTCTTGAATTATCTTGAATGGAGCTTTGGGATGCAACAAATTACGACAAGGTTATTGGTCTGGAAATTACTAAAACTGTTTCGAAATCACAATTTAAATTTCAAAATAAAATTAAGATTCAAAATATTAAGACATTTCGTGTAAAATTATTACATATGAAAAATAAGTGGGGACAAAAGTTTATGGATAGAACAAACTTTCAACACCAAAAGTATCATTTACATGCAGATACCGAAATGATAAAGGATATTCGGTATAAAATTTTTTTTTTCAAAAAACTGACAAAATCTAAGCTTAAGGACCCACAATATTAACTTTTATAAAGGATATAAGAAGCTATGTGAAAAAATCTGTATAATTTTCTGGGTAAGTCCTATTAGCTATGGTGCTACTATGGTCTATTTTTTAACCAGGAGGAGTAATTCAAATTTTCCGCGCCGTAATGCTTGTTTGCAAGTGGTCCAACCGCAGGCAAGTTTACTCCACTAAATTATGACATATTGACACTAATGACATTTGTAAAATTTATTTATTATTATTATTTTCCTCTAATATTTAATATATAAATCGATTTCTGACTAAGTTGTTTGTAATAACTTGGTGATATGCGAATAGTAATTAATGTGATATTTTTCTAGATGATATTTATACTAAATATAGTTTAAAGTGTTTATAAATTTATAAATGTATGTTATTTATATCTAATTATTATAAGAAAAACGGCAACTATCTTTTAAATTTAGTGTATACTTGTTAAGAAGCATTTCCATTTTGTTTTCATCACAATAAAAGAACATTATAAAGTAATGTTGTGTTTTAGTTTGATTGTATGATACAGTTGGTTTTGTTCTTCCTGGTTGTAGATCATCACAAGAAAACTGCAAAATTATGCAAGAATGTAACATAATAGATTGGATTTGTTGATTATCACACAAATCCAGTATTTTTTAGTAATTTATTTGTGATAACAAATGGGACAAACTCACTGTCAAAATTAAACAAGAATCCAGAAATTAAAGAAATTGTAAGTACACACTTATTTATACAAAGTATCTGGTAAGAAAAAAAAACTAGATTTAAGAAAATTGATCATACCAGAATAAGATTATGGTCTACTATTAAAAGACAAATTTCTGAGAAAACCCATACTTAGATCTGTAACGTTATTGACTCTCCCGATGAAAATATTCTCTAAATTATAATTAAATACCATAGACTTATCTATAAAACTGGATCACCCGATTATATGGACCAAATAATGTGAAAAACGTCCTTTTTTTATTGTAATAATTGTAATATACTATATATTGGAAGTGAATTGAACAATAGTACATTGTTTACCGGTAGGAAAAGCTTAACATTCCTGGACGC